AGAATGTGTTGTTCCTAAATATTCTAATCCAGTATTCATAACAATGTATTCTTCATAAATTTTTATACTAGTATGGATTAGAATGTGTTCTTCCCAAATATTCTAATCCAGTATGGATCAGAATGTTGGGTTTTCTTCCCAAAAGTCCTAAACTAGTATGGATCAGAATGTGTGCTTTTCCTTCCCAAATATTCTAAACTAGTATGGATCAGAATATTTTCTTCCCAAATATCTTAATCCCTTAACAATCAGAATGTGTTCTTCGCACATATTCTAAAGTAGTATGGATCAGAATGTTGAGTTTTCTTCATAAATGTTCTAAACTAGTATGGATCAGAATGTGTTCTTCTCAAATATTCTTATCAGTATGGACCAGAATTTTGTGTTGTTTTATTCTTAAATATTGTAATCCAGTATGGATCAGAAAGTATTCTTTTCTTCCCAAATATTCAAAACCAGTATGGATCAGAATGTTGTGTTTTCTTCCCAAATATTCAAAACTAGTATGGATCAGAATGTTGTGTTTTCTTCCTAAATGTTCTAAACTAGTATGCGTCAGAATGTGTTTTTCACAAATATTCTAATCCAATATGGATCAGAATGTTGGGTTTTCTTCCCAAACGTTCTAAACTAGCATGGATCAGAATGTGTGCTTTTTCTTCCCAAATATTCTAAATCAGTATGGATCAAAATGTTGTGTTCTTTTATTCACAAGTATTCTAATCCAGTATGGATAAGCATTTTATCTTCTTTTATTCCCAAATATTCTAATTCAGTATGGATCAGAATGTATTCTTTTCTTCGTAAATGTTCTAAACTAGTATGGATCAGAATGCGTAGTTTTCTTCCTAAATGTTCTAAATTCGTATGGATCAGAATGTATTCTTCCCAAATATTCTAATCCAATATGGATCAGAATGTGTTCTTTTCTTCCCAAATATTTGAAACTAGTATGGATAAGAATGTTGAGTTTTCTTCCTAAATTTTCTAATACTGTATGGAACTGAATTTTGTATTCAGAATTCTTATTTTATATGATTATGTATTTTTTAATGTTAGGAATATACTTTTGTCATTTGTTTCTCGATGCACATTGATTCTGCAACAGAGAGAAGTTTTGAAATGGTTCTACTACCAAGGAAAGTAGAGTAAATCACTCCAATACTCTAAATTGTGGAATGCACAGGCTTCCATAGATCGTAAGCACTTCCCCAACCCATTTCCACAGCTGTCTTCCTCTTAAATCCCTGAATATATACTGAGTTCATGAATATACATTAGTAAATGGTTTTATTAGACTTGCACTCGTGCATGTGCACTTTCTACATTGCAAATGGCTATTTACATGCAAAGTGCACAAAGCATCATGCTCGTTTAGTTTAAGGTTATTTGTTACAGTGTATCATCAGGTTTTGTATTGAATTCAATCTGATGCTAAGATAAAGATTTGCTGAATTGTATTCTGTCATAGAATTTTAAAGAGCCCTGAAATTCAAATGAAGTGTTGAGGGGGAAAAAAAAATTAAGTGCATATGTAAAAGCAAAACTAGAAATATAAACAGTCAATTGCTGATATCCGCTGATGAGTGGATGGAGCGATTGCTGGAGCATCTGTCTATGAAACCCTGGAGTCAGAATGCTGAAGGTAACACCAATCATGTAAGAGACAAACTTTATATTTGTACTAATACTATATATATATTATGAATTACAATGCTCATTATCAGAGATAGAATGCATACAAATATAAAAGTGGACATTGAGATCAACACCCAGTGGTGAAAGTCTGTTTCCTGCTGAATTGCGAAGATTGTATTCAAGCAAGAAATAGATTGTTGTTACTGGCTGTTGACCTCAGTGTCCACTTATATAAATGGACATTAAATTCTTTTATTCAATTTGACCAACAAGGTTTGTTTATTTCATTTTTCAAACATATTTTTTTGTATGCAAATAAGCTAATAAACAACTGCATAAAATTCATACAGAAACAGTTCAAAATTCATAATTTTTTTCTTGCTTCTTTTTACAATGATGTTTACTCAAGAGTCACTTGAGGTAAAGAGTTACAGAGTAAGAGGCACAGTTTATGCAAATATATGGGAAAGATAATGATTAACACTAGACTTGAACAAGTTAAGATTGAAGTGATCAGGGAAACATTTTCTTTTGTTATTTGCTTCTTTATTTCCATGTTACCTTTCGGTCAAATGGATGCCACTTAGAAGACCTCAAAAGGAACCATCTATTGGATATTAAACAAAAAACATTTGAGAAAACCCCCTCTCCCCCTTTCTTTGTGAGTGCCCATAGCACAACTCATTTTTCATAATTTTGATAAGTGAAATACTCCCGATTTATTTCAGAGTCAAGATTATCAATACCCCCAAAATGCATGCATATAAATACCTTAAAATTCATTTTGTTGACAGCAGTTTGGGAAACTATTTTGAATGTTTTGTTTTACATTCTTTATCAAACAATGTAGAGATGAACAAAATGGAAAAGCTATAGTGAAGAAAATGGCGACTTACCTCGTCAAACCAAGCGACAGCGCGTTGTGTATTCTACGACGGAAAAAGTGGCGAAAAAGAAAATTACTTAGCAAACAAAAGGGCACGTATTCCGCATAACATGCTGAAAATGGAATATTTGAATTAAAAAAAAAAAAAAAACAAGTCCGTCGCAGGAGTCGCTATAAAAGTATTTTGATATGCAAATTACTGAACATCCTATCCCAGCTGTCAATGAATGAAAAAAATAGGTTCTGCCGATAAAAGCAGTTGATGTTCTCGATTCGAGAGTGGAAAATTTGGACATTTTTGGCTACGGCGTTTATTAGAGAGTGAGTTATTTTTCTGACTGGTTACACGCATTGTGATTTGAGATAGTACCGGCGAATCGAGTTTTCAGCATTTCTTTCTGACCCCCGATATTCGAGTCTGTACTTACAGTGATTTTTTTTGTGTTGTGGAAGTAATCTGCGACAAATACTTCTTTTGCTTTCAGAACGCTTACAAAAGCTTAATATGTTTCTTCAGCATCTGTTGATCATAGTTTTGTTGGGGTTTTTTTTCTTTCTGACCTGAAGAAGCTGTGTTTAAAGAAAATCTGTTGGTATTTTTGTGGATAAGAGAGGTAATAAATTACCCTCTCTTTGCTTTTATATTTTTACAATCACCTCCAAAACTATCGCTTATATAATCAGGATCAATTTTGAGTTCTTCTGTAGTTTATTGTTGCCTATCGCATACGGCAACAGTATGTCTCATAAAAAGAAATCTCCACCAACAGAGAACCAGATTGCAATGAAGACCCAAGGCTGCAGTGAAGAAAAGAAAGTCCTATACGAATGAAAACCCAGATCAAACAGCACCCAGGAGATCTTCCAATGCTGAGAATAGGCAAAGACTTAGGGTCTCTCAAACTCCTGAACAAGCCAAAGGCTCAATCAAGAGTCTTCTGCAGGAGCTGACTTAAATGCTATCTGATAGGGTGGCTTTTAAGCTAGTTATACCATATAGTTGATGTTACTGAGGACATTCATTTTGACAATTAAAAGGACAAGAATTTATGTTTATGGATTTTTATTTAGTAAAGCTATAAAGTTATGATCATTAAAGTAAACTGGAACATCGAGGAAAGGGATTCTATTGTATTTATTTCACATGTCAAAACTTTTTACACCATTTACATTATTCAGGCTGTTGTCTTAATCTTTATTGCCATATTCACAATATTTCAGTTTCTATATGCTCTAGCCTTTTTTAGTTGATATATGTTGGAATTTTGAACTGAACCCTTTATTTAGTTCACAGGGGTAGATTGTTCCAGTTCCACATGCCATGCCTCTCCTGGATATCAGTTAATTCCCTTTAGTATCTCAACTCTACAAGTTTTGTTCCTTCTGCTGTGGTCAGGGATTGAACTCACAAATCTTGGAGTCTTTTTTTGGATTACTCAACCAACACCTTTATCTGTAAATAATGTAAATCATTACAATACTTCATCTCAGAAATATAGATTGATGTCAAACCTTGTTGGGTTATTTAAAGTCGAATTTAGTATGGGCACCAATTCAGGATTGAAATCGTTAGCAATGGTAACTGTTACCCCACACCAAGGTAGTTATTTTTCTTATATGAAGTCATATTGTAGTCTCTGTTGATGTACTGATAAGTGTCATGTTAATCTACAAGAAAGTGTGGTGGTTGTATGACCAATATAAGAATTTAATGTTTATTGATTATTAGCATTAAAGATACAAGTTTGTATAGAGCACAAGAATTTATAAATAATTTTTAATATTTGTTTCATTTGGTTCATAGTGTGGATGCATCTGCTTACAATAGAATAAATTCTTTTTTGCTTATATTAGAATTGTGATTTTTGTTTTATACTTATATAATTCTTTAAAGCTCATTTTGTTTAATCCCAACATCATTTGACAAACTATTGTTAATAAGTGTTTGTTTTATGTTACTGAATTTAAAAAAAAATACAATGTAGGAAGAAGGAATTACTTCTTTATAATGACTATTTTATATAAGGATATTAATTTTGCTAATTATGATCAACATTTATACAAATAGGTTTTATACAGTGAAACAGTAAAATAACTACTATTAGAATTGACTACAACAGTGGTTCCAAAATGATGCAGCAGAAGAGGATAGCACGTGAAGTGGAATGATTGAAAGACAATCAAAGATTTAGAAGCAGTTTCAAAAACTTCATATGCCAAAAATAAATATGCATACAAAATTTAAAATATTATTATGAATTACTTGTAATAGCATGCATTAGTCCCAGCATTATAAATAATTATTGACAGATTTTATCATTGTGATATTTTTGCATTATATCGTATTAAGAATATAGTAATTAGGGTTTGCAAATTGGAAGAGAGTTATCAATGATAATGTTGATTTTGAATCTGTGGTTTTCTACCTTTAACCCTCTCCCTGGACCCTGTTTGCTATAGGGATGATTGCGTCTTTTTAGAAATAGAAAGAGATAGAAGAATAAAGAGAATAGATAAAAGAGATAGAAGAAGAGAGAGAAGAAATAGAAAAAAAGAAAAAGAGAGAAGAAATAGAAAGAAGAAGAGAGAGAGAGAAGAAATAGAAAGAAGAAGAGAGAGAGAGAAGAAATAGAAAGAAGAAGAGAGAGAGAGAAGAAATAGAAAAAAGAAGAAGAGAGAGAGAAGAAATAGAAAAAAGAAGAAGAGAGAGAGAAGAGATAGAAAGAAGAAGAAGAGAGAGAGAAGAGATAGAAAGAAGAAGAGAGAGAGAGAAGAGATAGAAAGAAGAAGAGAGAGAGAGAAGAGATAGAAAAAAGAAGAAGAGAGAGAGAAGAGATAGAAAAAAGAAGAAGAGAGAGAGAAGAAATAGAAAAAAAGAAGTAGAAATAAAGACAGAAGAGAGAGAAGAAATAGAAAAAGAGATAAAAGATGAAATAATAATAATGATAACTTTAGCTTGGTTGATAATATTCTTAATGTTTTATTGTTCACTCCCCTTAGCGTTTTTTTTTTTCTCATGTTATCTTACACTCAGTAACCTCTTGCTTCTTAAAAACTTTATTGCCTTGCTTGGGGTGAAATGATTAAAAAAATATATAGAATTTAGTTTCAATTGTAATCAGCCCTGTTTAAAATACAAAAAAGGATTTAGTTTAATCTCCTTTGTAGGTTAAAACATTGTTATTTCTAAATTTTTTTCAAAGCTTGCCTTACTTAAGAGTGCAATTTTTTTTTTTTTTAATACTTATTGGCCTTAAGCAAGCCTAGTAATGCAGACTGAGTTTTGGTGTGTTTAATTTTTATATTTTTGTAAAAATAGCTTTCACTTCTGTTGTGTTACGAACTGTTCTACACATGATGATATGACGTGTTTAATTCATACAGCTTTAAATTCGAATTATAGCGTTTCTAAAAAATGACTAATTGCCAATCTAGTACTCTGCTTAAATTTGTAATGTCCTGGTACCAAAAAGGAAAGTTCATTAGAACAATTGCTATGAAAATATTTATAAAATAAAAAAAAAATGTACAGGGATGTTACGTTACAGTGGTAGGAAAATGACTGAATTTGAGATGCCAGGCCAGGACTTGATAACATTGCAGATTCCTATTTGGATTTTGTCAAGAATCTCTAGATATATAGTAGAAGCACTGGACCATATTCAATGCATGAACAAATGTTAGACTTGGAAGATAGATTTAGGTGAGAAAAAGTTGTCTAGCATAACACAGTGAATCAACTTTCCTAGCAGTAAACTTAGCAATTGATTGAATATAATTGTTCCACCTCATTGAAAATGAGGAAGAAAGGGATTGTTAGTGGTCAAGAATGATGATATTTATTACTATAGAATAAGGCTTTTGTAGTTTAAATGAAAGAAAGAAGAAAAAATTGAATGTCACTTGCCTTGTGTTAGGGGAGAAGAACAAGCATTGGCAACAGATGATTTCTCTTATAGAGAGACATCAGGGCAAACCAGTAGAAAAAGACGAAGTATGGGAAGGAAGAAATAAACTATAAAACTCAACCAAAAATAGAAGTTGGTGAATTTTCTTTTTTCATTTCAGTGAACTTGATGAAGCAATGTGTTAGTAAGAGAGAAAAATAAGGAAGTACGAGAAACGTTGTAAGAAGGAGATTTGAAAATAGAGGAGGATGAAAGATATCCTGGGAGAAGCAAAGGAGATTCAAACTGCCAAGCCCCACTTTGCATTGATACACCCACTCTTGGTTTCTTTTTTTATTTTTAACATTCAAACCCCATATATGTATAATTTAAATTGCTAATGATTTTATTATAGGAATGCATTGAAAATGAGGAAGAAAGGTATTGTCAGTGGTCAGGAATGAAGGCAAGCATTGCTGATAGAATAGGGCTATTATATGTATAATGGAAATGCATTGAAAATGAGGAAGGAAGGCAAGCATTACTGATAGAATAGGGCTATTATATGTATAATGGAAATGCATTGCTAATGATTTTACTATATGAATGCATTGAAAATGAAGAATAAAGGGATTGTCGGTGGTCAAGAATGAAGGAAAGCATTACTGATAGAATAGGGCTATTGTGTGTGTGTGTATATATATATATATATATATAAAAGAAATATAATGTAGTGATCCAACGAGAGAAAAGTATGTATATTAAAAAGAAGAGAAGAGAGGTGCCGCAAACTTTTTTGGTTGTAATGTGGATTTATTAAGGAAAAATATTATGCTTTGTTTTACATAATTTTACGACACGTGTTTTTGGTCTTGCGACTGTCTTCAGGTAAAAGTGGAGATTTCCACATATTATTAAAAATAATTAATTTTTCCTCATGTTCAATGTTAAATATTCTTGATATGAGACATTTTCTGTTTGTGTGTTGGTAATCTGAATTTCTTTCTTGAATTATATATATATATATATATATATATATATATATATATATATAATGGAAATGCAGTGCCAGTGATTTTCCATGTGAAAATACTCATGTTTCATCTCCCAATCTGATATATTTGCTTTGAGATTTTTCTATTTTTAATTAACAGTTTTAATTCATTTAAAGTAATTACATATTTTTGTTTCTTTAAAATGTTTTCTTTATAGCTTTGGTTATTATTGTGTTGGAAATTTTTGCCTCCAAATCTTTTTTGTTGCCTTGAAATTAATTGGCATAAAATTGAAAAGCATTTTTGGGCATCTTTAAACTGAACATTGATCCTGTATCTGTGAAACTGATCTCATGTTGTATTTGTGGAGGGAAAGCAAAGATCAAAACAGCATCTCTTTTCTGTCTCATCAGAATTTGATCCAACATTTGACTAACTGTCATGATTAAGGCTGATTCATTAAGTCCCGTTGCATTTTAAAAATATATGATGCCAGGTTAAAATTAGAAAAGCACTGACGATTATATTTTAAGATTCAAATTAAATATGAAATTAGTTCTATTTTTGTCTCTTTCAGGATGTTTTTCTTTTTTCCTCGTCTTGGTAATCAAAAATATAAATTTTTATGAAATGTCGTCTCTATTTTATTAAGCTGAAAGATTTAATTATCATTAAAAAAAGAATTTAAATAAATTCCACTTAAAAATTGCATTAAAGAAATAAAACCATTTATAAGAAGACAATTATTATTTTAACGAAATCTTATTTAATTTAATTGAAATTTTATTAATTTAATTAATCTTTTATTTAATTTGAATTTATTTAATCTAATTAAAATTTTATTTTATTAGAGCAGGCATATTATAAGGCCATTCATAACAACAAACATTTCTGAAAAAATAAAGAAGGGTGAAAAAAAAAATACCTTACTGGAAATTGGTAATATCTGAATATAATTTTGATTAAAAGCAGCTAAAATGTTTTTTTGGTCCTTTCTCATCACAGCAAAAATTGAGGACAAAAAATGTGCACAGTGTCTAAAAATATAATATTATATACAAACAACAAATATAATATTAAAGGCATCTAACCTTTAAGCTGACCAACCTCTCCTTCTGTTTACAGAGAGGTGGCTGGTTGGACTTAATGTATACTGATTCTAAAACCATCAGGTTATGATCTGTATTAGTTTTACTCAGTCCTGTGAACATCACAAGTCTATAAACCGAGCAAACTGATGGTTTTTAATCAAATGTTCACTTATTACTAAATCTGATACATTAGTGTACCTATGTAACTTGTCCACTTTTCCATTGCAAATATTTGCTGGTATGTGCAAACAAAAATGTTTTATATCTGTTTGTATATATGAGGTATTGTAATTATTTACATGGTTTGGATTGTTGTCCTCATCTTTGTTGCCATATTTGCAATGTTTCAGCTGTTATGCAGGATCAGGATATGCCTATATTTCTGAGATGAGGTATTATAATTATTTACGCTATTTACATGGTTTGGATTGTTGTCCTCATCTTTGTTGCCATATTTGCAATGTTTCGGCTGTTGTATGCTCCGGCCTTCTTCAGGTGATTGGAATTTCAAACTGAACTCTTTCTTTCTTCCATTTGGTTAGATTGTTATAGTTCCACATGCCATACCTCTTCCAGATGTCTCAGTATCAGTTATCTTCCTTTTAACTCAATTCTTCAAGTTTTTGTTCACAACTGCTGTAGCTTGGTATTGAACTCGCAACTCTTTGGGTCAAGTCACTGGATTCAACAAATACTTTTATGCATTGGTCCTTGAGTACATTAGTATATGAATTTTGGGGGCTTATAATCCTAATGTAACCTTTTTACCAGAGCTTATATTACAATTTTTTTTGTTATTGTTTTTTTCTAGCACTCTGTATTACTGGTTCCCATATTGTATTCATTTCTATGCTTGGTTGGCTCAGGAGATTTTTGTGGCCTACCATATGTGCTGATTTTATTTAGTTTAAATTTAACTTAAATTCAATTTAATCAAAATTTTTTTAAGTTTAATTGGTATCGTATTTTAGTTTTTTGAAAGTCTATTTAATTTGACCAAAGTAAAAAAAAAAAAAAAAGAAATGTTGGACAAACTTCATAAATTTAAGTGCAGTACTCAGTTGGCTGCAATGTCTCGTCTGCTTACAATTTAAATAGCAAGATGCAGCTGTAAGTTCTATGCTGACAGTTTCTTCTATCAGAATTCTCGCCTGTGGAACTCTCTTTTGGCTTCTTGTTTTCTAGTTGGCTTTGATCTTCAAAAACTTAAATACAGTGTCAATGGTTATCTTGTTTTCTTAATTCTTGTTCTTTTGTTGTTTTCTATCCTTAATAGTATATTTTTCTCATATTCTCTAGCACTCAGTAACCCGTTGCATCTTAGTAGCTTTACTGCCTTGCTTGGGGTGAAATGATAAAAAGAAAAATGTTTAATGGAAAATAATTTTCAAAAATGTGTTTCTGGTTAATTCAAGCTTTCTCATGTCTGTCTTCTCTGTCTCTGTTAATATTTAAAAGCCCCAATGTGGGATGTATGTGGCACAAAACCAAGTTTACCATGGGTTCTCCGACCCCGTAGGCTTGGCTAAAAATGTTCCCTTAGAACCTGCATAATAGGGTTCAGGGTCTGTCTACTTCCCTGGATGAAACTTTGCCCTTTGGCAAAGCCTCGTCTGGGTTCCTCTCTGCTCAAGGCAGAGAGTTCGCAAGTTGAACAGTTTAGACTCTGTGTGTGTGTGTGCATATATATATATATATATATATATATATATATATACACACACAGTCAATGATGAAATTATTTGTACACATATCAATTTTTAATATTTTTATCCATTTTTCAGAATCTAATGCCTGTATGATGCTAGGTTTTGTTTTATGTTAGCCACAAAAAAAAAAAGGAATATAAGACTTAATTTTCAAGACAAAAGTTTAAATAAAAAAAATTTGACAGGCAAATTATGCAAACTAAGAAAAGACAAAATTATACATACAGCATGAAAAATAGAAAAATTGAACAGTTTTTGCAATGCTAATAATCGATAACATGGCCTCTTATCTTTATAACTTGCTGTGATTGTTTTCTAAAGTTTTTGATGAGATTTGAACAAGTCTTTTCTGGGATTTTCTTCCATTCTTCAATAGTTCAGTCAGTTATGTGCCATGCATGATACACACTTAGGTAATCATGTATCTTTCGATATATGACTGACAAGGCAGATTTCTTTCTGCAGTAGACCAGTTGCCATGCAAAGCTATAGAACCCGTTCTGTCCTGCTATTTACCCATAGTTGGAGAAAGAAGAAGAGGTTTCAAACCTTTCTCAAGGGTATTAGCATGTAAATGGATGTAACAGTTTCGACTGGAATTTGAACTCAGCTCTCCAATTCCTCAGTTCGAGCTGCTGTCTATTTCTCCACTGTGCTTTCTTAATAGTTACATGTTCTAATTCCTGAATATATGTAAGAGAGAGATAAAATTGACATAGCAATCAATACTGCATTGGTTCTTTGTGGGCTCCCTATATATGCCACTGGGGGAATAACATGTTGAAGAAAGAGGAAACAGGCCCTCCCAAATTCTTTGGCTTAGGTTAGGGTTTATGCTTTCATTGATATACGATTTCTCGTTTACTTTTTATTTATTTATGTAACCTATTTACATTATCGTCGTCTTTGAGATTTAGGATTAGTATTCGCTATTAAATTAAGTGCATTGCCAAAGAAGGAGATTATGTTGGCAAATATTTATTGTGTATAAATTTTTTTTTCATTAAACTATAAACTTACTGATGTACCTATGCCATGAAACTGCAGAAGAAATAAGTAGTGAAAAAGAATGATAAAGTACATTTTGCAATATGAGGTCTTCAAAAAAAAAAAAAAAACTGATTACCATTTATTGATGTCAGAATAATGTTTAAGTTAAGGAAGAAACCCCAGAGGTGCCCAGAATGTCACAATACTGTTAAGATCTCAACAGCATCAGGTGTTGCTGATGTCATAAGTCTGATTAAAGAAGGGGAAAAAATGTCATTCTTGTGGAAATAACCCATCTACTAGTTCAGATGACGTCAGAAACAGTTTTAAATCTAAAAGGAAATTAACTGATAAAATTAAAAAAAAAAAAAACTTATAATGTGGATTTCCAAAGACGATATTGGAAAATGAAGATTTTTTTAATGCAATGTCAATTGTTGTCCTGTTTCCTTGCATCTTAGTGGCTTTATTTTCTTGCTTGGGGTGTAATGATTTAAAAAAAAAAAATTTCTATCATAACCAGCCCTTTCCTCGTCTTTCTATATTTATTTTTTCCTTTCACCTGGTTTTCTTTTTGTTGTTCTCTAGTTTTCTTACCTCTTACTTTTCTACCCACCCATCCTCTTTTCTCCTCTCCCATCCTCTTTTCTCCTCTCCTCATCTCTCTTGCTTTGCCCAGTTGATTCCTGTATAATATTATGTTGGTTTCTTAGCTAGACAATAACTCCAGCTCTGAAAGGACAGAGATTGAGCAGATACTACACTCTGATCCAAACAACAAAAGTATAAAAATCATACATATAACCAATCTGAATAATGGTTTAGATTATTCCTTGTAATTATTGGATAGTGTTTTTGTCACTGTTATTTTTTATTGTCAACTGTCAGGTTGCCTACATTGTCTACATTTTTAAATAGGCAACTCATTTATAAGCAATTGTACTCAAATTTGACTAAATCTTAAGACTGGAATGTCTCTGCTCATACATGGAAGTAGTACTCCATTTTAGATCTGATCTGGCTCTTGTAAAGATAGACAAGAGTTTCTCAACTTTCTAGGTGCAAATGAAAATATCAAGGCACACTCACTTAGCAAAATTTTTAAAGGATATACATTTAAATGTTATGAAATAAAACCATAGATTTAAAAAAAATACACACACAAATATGAACTTAGTTTATTTCAATGTTTTTATTCAACTGTTTATTTAGTTTGAAACCTGTTTTGTTTTATTTCAACGATTTGTTTCTTTTCAGTTCAATCTTTCTCATTTATTTTGATGTTATTTAGGGTTGAAAGATTAATTCAAATAAATAAGAAGTGAAAATTGCCTGATAAAGTTTTTATGTGATTTTTTTTTAAAATGTTTGGTTTTATTTGAGCCCTCGATCACTAGAAATGGTGGCCCCTTCTTCTTCTTCTTCACATAACTGTATTAGAAGGAACATTTATGAAGGATTTTGAATCAATCATACTTTTAAACAAGACTTTTCGATACATTTATAGATCCCTTTTACATTCGAGGTAACAGAAGAGAGTTGGGGGGGGTACAGTTGGTGATTGGAATTTGGAGTGATTATTAGATTCTTTGGGAGGAGAACCACTAACCCTTAGTGTATGAAATCTGCTTGTAGTGTTCTGCTTTTCAAGAACATTCAAGTCTTCAGAGTCCTCAATCAAAGGAAACTGACCAGAAGAGATGCAAAAGATTCCAAAAGTCATCTGAGGCCATGGTTGAAGCCAAAGACAATTTTATTGAATAAATTTAGTATTTCATGATATTTTTGTGTAATTTTGGTAAATATAAGAATTACAGCAGTTTTTGTCAAGCTTTTTAATCAATGGCACACCTGGGAGCAAATGAAAAGATCACAGCACACTTAGCAAAATTGTTAAAGGATATACATTTTAATGTTATGAATAAAACCATAGATTTAAAAAAATACCCACACAAATATGAACTTATTTTATTTCAATGTTTCTATTCAACTATTTGTGAATCTTATTTAGTGTGAAACATGTGCCTGATGTTTTTACGTGATTTTTTTAATGTTTGGTCGAATGTGCAATAAGTAGACCCTCAGTATCTGTCTATATTTCTGAGATGAAATATTATGTACCCTATTTACATTATTCGGACTATTGTCCTCATCTTTGTTGCCATATTTATCCCAGTGTTTCAGCCGTTGTATGCTCCAGCCTTCTTCAGGTGGTTGGAATGTTGAACTGAACCCTTTATTTCACTCACTGAGGTAGACTGTTCTCGTTTCATATGCCATGTTTAATGGATATCAGTTATCAGTTATCTCCTGTTAATTCTCCTTTCCAAGTTCTCCACTGCTTTAACCAGGTATGGAACTCACACTCTTTGTGTCTTGGAAAGGGGAATTAACAGGAGATAACTGATAACTGACATCCATCAAAAATGGCACATGAAACTAGAACAGTCTACCCCAGCAAGTGAAATAAAGGGTTCAGTTTGACATTCCAACCACCTGAAGAAGGTCGGAGGGTACAATGGCTAAAATGTTGTGATAAATAAGGCAACAAAGATGAGGACAATAGTCTGAATAATGTAAGTAGACCCTCATTTCTTCAGTTGACTAGTCTTTCTCACTTTTTATTTTTGATGTTATTTAGGGTTGATAAGTCGAATTCATATAAATAAGAAATAGAAAATTGCAATAAAACTGATAAAGCTTTTTTAGCTAATGTGGGATAAAAAGTTTAATATTTATTCATTTATTCAAACATTAACATTGTACCATTACTACCCCCCCAAACCACATGTATGCCATGACAATATTTCATAGCACACTTAAGAGGATCCCATGGCACACTAATGTGCTGCAGTATGGTAGTTGAGAATCAATGATGTAGAGGATAGCAGGATGATATGTGCATTCCTGAAAAGGGTAATTGATCCTTGCTGAACTGTTAGGTTCTCTGTGGCTGAGCAGGCTAAAGCACACCAAATCAGAAAGTGGTTTCCTCTACAAAGCAGATCAAATAATTTCATCCTGTTTTTTCTGGTGCATTTATTTTCACACAAGTGTATGCTTATTTCATTTTTACTGATTGCAGGAATAAGAATTTAGACCAATGTATGCTTCCTCATAGACATTTTTTTTTCTTTGGTAAGTATAATTATCAGCTGTCTTTTTGGTGACGCTTAACAGTTTCCTCTGTGAAAGCCTTGAAGTTGCCAGTTGACATTAATAATCTAGGTCTGTGAGTTGTGGGTTGGGGTTCTTGTTCTGTGGTCACTGATCGACCATTAGGTGGCCTCCAGACATGAAATCTGGAATGTCTGGTATGTAAGTCTTTGTGTTTAAAAATTTTGCAAGAATTTCAGTCTTGTGATGAAATGTCTTTTTGTGAAATGCCAGCCTAAAAAAAAAAGCATAAAACAAGGAATTGATTGTTTGTATGGTATCACAACCAGACAGGTAATTTGACAGATATATTTGTACCTATTTCACACGGTAATCTTTTTACCTGGCCATTGTCAGACGATACGAAAATACCTGATAACAGAAAATTTTATAATAATGGAGAAAAAAATATTTTTAATATAATTTATACAATACTAGTATAATACTCTTTAAAAAATGACAGGGTTATTTATGTGTTGTATTATGCTGGAATAGGCTTTGCACTCAATTTCACACAAGTTTAAAGTATGTTTTATTCATTATTAGTTAATTCAAAATTTTTCCAATCTGAAAAATAAATGAAAAGTACCTTAATGCATATAATATATGTATTAATATCCTGATTTATGAAAATAAATTATTTTATGATATAGATATATTTTTTCCCTGTTTACATTAAAAGAGAAATTTCTTCCGTAAAATGTACTTTGAATACAAAATTAATAATGAATACTAAAGACAATAAAAGAAAGTTTATTATGCCACTGGGCTTCATAGTTAATACACTGCGTGAAAATTTGAAGTAACAGCATTTTTTTTTTTTTAAATGAATGCTTTAGTATTTATGTCTTGTGTCAAATGATGTTTAAACTTAATAAACACCTGTATATGTTTCTCAGCAATACAAAGTCTATCATGGCTTATAAGGATAAATCAATAAGTCTGTAGCTTTTTTTCTTAGAATGAAAAGCACATAACTCTGTGCTTGTGGGGTGACATATTAATTCTGGAAAGTTCGATTAAATTAGCTGAGGCTGAATTGGATATAAATTATCCTGGCATAGCAAATAAGACAACCTGTATTGAATATCATCAGATAAATACTGTAATCACAGGTTCACAAAGTGTTACTTTTGTACTAGCTGACTTAACCAGCACTCCAGGGTCTACAAAATTATCTTATTATAACAGAGCTAGAACTAAACTTTAAAACAAAAACCTAACTGTATTCCAACATTGTTGTTAGTGGTGGTGGTGTTTTTTTTTTTTTTTTTTTTTTTTAAAGAAAATGTTATGTTTGATCTTGTACAAGAACAAAAATTTGGCCCAAACACTGATACTCTTCAAAACTGACGAGTTGGAGTTTATTTAAAAAAAAAAAAAGGTTTTTTTTTTTTTTTTGTTTTTTTTTTTCTTTCATAGTTTAAATTTTGAAATACTCTTAATTTTCTTATGACTTGTAAAATTTTTGCTTGTATTCACAATTTAAGCTGAGTAACAACCTTATCTTGCAGGCTGTTAATTCAAATTTAATATTAAAAATATTTGTGTCTAATTCATGACTCTTATAAAAACTTTTTTCATGCATTCACATATACCATAGCTCATTTTGAAGGAATTTGCCTGTGTACTAAGTATTTTTTTTTTTTTTTTTTTTTTTTTAATGAATGCTCTAGTATTTATGCCTTGTGTCAAGTGATGTTTAAACTTAATAAACAGCTTTATATGTTTCTCAGCAATACACAGTCTATCAAGGCTTATAAGGATAAATCAATAAGTCTGTAGCTTAACAGTTATTAGCTGCATTTTTATAACTTTCATTGTAATGTTCAATTTCTGATTATTGGAGAAACTTTTGGCTAAGTGCATTAACAAGGAAGGAGATTATGTATAAAAAAAAAACCCATAAAAAATGGAAAAATAGGGCTCAAATATTG